ATCGTATTGAACTTTATTGTATTTATTTATGCATCTATATTCAAACATTATAGAGAGTCTGGATGGGTAGAGTTGTTTGTTGCAACATCAATATGACTATAAAATCATTAAAAAATTTGTGCAGTTGGCTTTTATTGTCTTCATTATCTTGATATCTTGGGTTATTGCCTTATTGGGGGACTTTGCCTTTTTGTCCCTAAATTGGCAGCTTGGTATCCATTAAATATAGTCCTTTGTCTGCCCATAAACCAAAATTTGATGAACATGGATTCATCCCAGGTCTATGGTTGTGATATATCCCCTGCTTGCCAGCCTAACAAAAAATTGCCTTTTTATTATTTTTGTTATTAAATATAGTTGCAAGCTAGCTATTTATTGATTTCACCTTCATTATTGAACATCTTCATTTCCCTCTTCGGTTTGATTATAATATGACGTTGGAAGATGGGAAGCAGTTGCTTCCAACTCTCCTGCTAAAAGTTGTCTGAGATATGCAGATTAGTAAAGAAGCTGATGCAATTGTGGTTAATTGGTGGTATCTCCCTTGCGAGTTTGTTTGATGTCTTAGCTGCCACAAGATCTTTACAAGTGTTTAGCATTTAGCTCTTTCTGTTTGTAATACTATTGGTGTGTCTTTCATCAGATGGAAATTTCAGGATTTGGAACTTCTTTTCATGTACTCATATTACATTGCAGTGTAATTCTTAAAAGATTTAAGTTTTGTTGATCTTCTATGTAAAACTTGCCATGGTTACTCTAGCTAGCCTCCTGCTCCTTGTACAGTTTTCCTTCATGATTTTATAAATCCTAATGACTCAATTAATCAAGGACCAATCGATGAAAGCTGTGATTATGGAACAAGAGCTTCTCAAACACAAAATAAAAAGAGAGAAGAAATAAGAGAATGGCAAAAAGAGATGAAATAGCACTCCCAATGTAGAATGATTGTTTAGCAAGAAGGAGGATGTGATTTTTTTTTTTTCTATATTTGATTTATCTATGAATTTTTTAGAGTTCTAATAATTATAAAATTTCTATAAGTTTTTCCTACATTTGAGTTCTTGTAAATGCACATTCTTTTCAAAATATTTTTGATTTTGTGTACTAAAAAATCTACTATTAATGAATTTCCATGTGTCCTTAACTTATTATGAATATTTTTGCCTTTTCATAGCTCATACTATACTAATATCTTTAATGTTAGCAAATAAATCAGTATTATAGACATTATATAAATTCTTGACACATTTATAATGAATTTTGTTAGAAAATTTATACTTAAAATTTAAATTTAAGTCTATACTAAATATTGAAGAAAAATTTAATAAATTTATGATAAAGAATTTTCCCTTTTTTCAATTGTTGCATTTTAATGATAACAACACCAATACGTAATTGACAAAATTATTGATTAAATTAACCAAAATTAGAAAAATAGTAGAACGCATCAATACGAAAAATTCCTCTGAATTTTTTTTGGATAATTCAATTCAATCAATCCTACTCTCAGTAATTAAAGTTTTGTACTCTCATTAATTCATTTTGCTTAAAAAAAACTTTAATTAAAGTAATTCACCCACTGCTAGTCTTTTTTTATTCTCTCTTTTGGGCAGGCATTGGGATCTTGGTCTGTGAAGCTTTCATAGTTTCATTCTTTTATTATTATTTTTGGCCCAGAAACAAAAGACGCATATGTGAAAATCAAATACAGCAACCACATCAGAAACACAATACAAACACAGAACTACAAAACAGAAAATGCTTGACCACATAGAAGGTTGTGCAGGCAGCCCATCCTTGTCAAGAGTGACAACCAGATTCAATGGGGGAACTCGAATCCAATTCAAAGGACATTCCTACTTTCTGCTATGAATAACTACCCAATCCATGGCCTTGCATGAGGATAGTGTTGAAGTGTAAGTTCCCGTGGAGTTGAGAGTTGCGTATAAGATCCCATAACGAAGAGAAGCAAGATGCTAGAGT